GGTCGGGAAAAGAACTCCAAATCTTTAAATATCTACAGACTCATTTTTTTATCGCAGGAAAGAAAAAAGACAAATACTTGTTCATTTTACCTAGTTCGAACTCTCCAGCTCCAAAGCCAAGATCCTGTTTCATTCAAATCTATTTCTAATCATACCATTCCCATAATCCATTTGAATTCGAAAATAGCATCAAACTGGAAAAAGTCTTTTATATATGTTTATACGAATGAGGCCAATAACAGCGCCAAATTTGAAGAGTAAACATCGTACGTCATCATCACAAGTGCTCTCTCTCTCCTCTTATGCAAATTGACCTCGAATCGATATATCCCTATCACCCAGAATGATTGAGAACAGACATCCAAACGAAGATTTTGTGAGTGTGTGTCAAAGTCATATTATATAAATATGTGCTTTTATTTCTCATTTTATGATTTTCCTCTCATCATTGTTGTAGTTAAACACAAACCTACAATTATTTACATATGTTCTTCATTTTGGAACAAATTGTGTGTGTGTGTGAGTGTGTATGTATATATTCCGTTTAGTTCTAGTTGATCAAGGACTTTTAGTAGGTTCGGTTTCAGTGGTTGAAATTCTTTACGGTTATTGTTCATCCAAAAACACGTCCTCCTGTGGGCAAATGTGGGGCTACAATTTGTTTGCAGGTGTGTTGGTGTCATAACTGCTTCTTCGCAGAATATGCACGTGCCGTTGGTTAAACCGGCCTTCTTCAGATGCCCATTCTGTCTGAGGTGTCCTGTTAAGAATACTATTAGGATGCAACGTTTTTGCTTGCTTCGTTTCTGTTGTTTCTTTCCAGCCAAATTTTGCGTGAAAGTTCTCGGATTGTTTATATCCGATGAAAGAATTCCCCTATGCCACAGAGAGGATCAGAATTGATCAGCCGTATGGCAGCCCCTTTCCTTGCAAAGGTCGTCCGTTCTCTCGTTTCCCTCTATTCTCACTCACATGTCCTGGGACTTTATTTTGGATAACTAATCTATTTATTTAGTTTTGCAATTCAGCACTACCTTTGAGCTAATGGTGCTTGAGGTTAGTGTTCACCACATTGATTAGTTGGCCCAGTGTCGTTGGTTTCCTCTACAGAAATCAAAGGATGGCTGCTTGGCTATCTATTCTGTTGTTGTACCGTTTATTCAAATTAAATTGGATACATCTCACAATTTCTTCAATATCTTCTGCCAAGAAGATATTGATGTATTTCCTATGGGTTCTGAGTATGTGGCTCCGAGACCGAAAACTCCCGGCCCCGTACTTTCCTTTGTTCTAGATCTATCGGTGTGCTTGGTCGTATACATATTAATTTTATCATTTACACTACAATAAAGCCAGGAAATGATACTGGTCCGCCTAATCTCGCTCTTCGGCTTAACTATCTTGACATTTATTTCTAATGCGACAGTTATATTCATCACTGTGCCACATAAACTGCCTAATGAGCAGCAAGAATAGGAAAAAATTCAAACCACTTAATCTGAACTAAATTTAGGTTTACGTAGAGAATGAACGACCTTTTACAACAACTCTCAAAGGCGGCATGAATCCAAAACCAAAGTAACCGATGTCATTTAAGCATCATCATGAGCGTGACAGTATCAAAAGAAATCTACATAATCAAACATATTGCAATGTATTTAAATACATGTCTTTGAATATAATAAAATAAATTTGTAAATAAAAATAGCAGTGTGTCTTACGATAGTCCCTCTCCCACCTCAAGGACCAGGCTTCGACTTATAAGGGGACGTGGCAAGGTAACCAGAGTTTCAAAGGAGATAAGATCCTTACGGTTTGTGACGAGAATATTTGAAGTGAAAGCTAATGCAAGTGTTACTTTTACTCTGGATTAGAATTTCGGTTTTACTGCCGACCGTTCCTGAAGCAGATCAGACCTTGGATGTATAAACCAGTTTCTTAATGGGTTAGTACACGTTTAAAAAAAAAGTTGCGCAACTGTATCAAAAGAGACAAAAAAAATCAGACTCTATTTGAAAATGCAGATGTGTCTAGTGTCCGGTTTAGAAGCGCATCTGCATACCTTGACATTTCCGCCGGGAAAGCCATTGTCGCTAAAAAGCTGAGCTTTTAAAGTGCTATGTTGAATTTCATAGATGTGCAAAACATCTGAATTTATTTCAACATGCTCGAAATTTAAACTGTGTGAGAAAGCAGTTACCAGTTAATAAATTTATGGTATAAAGCTCTAAATAAAAAACATACACCTGCCTTTTCTTCCTCTATTTCCTGATCTGTTCTCACTTTTCTTCAATCATTTCAAAATCAACACCAATATTTCTTTTATGTTTGAAACCATTAGCCTTAAAAACCATGAATCTTTGGATGTTTGATTCTCCGCAGTAAAAACATTATCCTTATTGAATTCCTTCGGTTTACAGTCTTTATTTAATATGGCTCCTTAATACTTGTATTAAAGAGAAATAATTGTGATTAAAACAGCAAAGGAAAGTGAACTTTTTACTTCATACACTACATTTATCACAATGATCATATCGATGAAATGAAGATCCAGTGATATTTTAAAGTGACTTTCACAAATCGCCAAATCTTCTTTTTGAGATTTTTTGAAATAGTAAAAACAAGAAAACGTGGGTGGAACATTTTCAAGAGTTTTAAGTCCCACACAGATGGCCGTATACCGTACCAAATACTATTTCCACTCTTTTAAAGCCTTTCACTTTGGATTAATTAAAAATGGTAATTTTACTTCTACTTTATAATGAGAACAGTTATGAATTTTCTTAAATCGATTATTTATTACGTTAACAAAAGTTCAAGAGCATAAATAGTAAGTAAATTGTTTCTATTGCAATGCCTTAAACGCTTTCTAGTGAATTATGCTAACATCAAGGATTAGCTAAAGATAGTTTACTAGTAAAATTTAACAATTTTGTTCTTTTGTCATTATAGTCGGCTGGTTTGGGTCGATTAGACTAGAATCACAAAAAGATAACGGAGATCAGCTATGTAAAGGTCATTAATAAAGAAAAGCCGAACGACGTAAGTTGTGTCATTGATTAATGTATTTTCACAAATGCCACTTGATCTTATCTTCTGGATCGTCCTTACTCTTAAAATATCAAGTATCAGTTAGTTAAAAATTTTGAGTTGATGAGCGCAAAAGAAAAATAGGACTTGATACCGGCAAAGATGAGTTTATCTTTTCGTCTTACAAGGTCTCGTAAGTTAATCGTACACATCGCGTTAGAAAGCTCTCGCGGTTGCCCGTTCCGTTTCGCAATAACGCTAATCTTCAGCACGGGTCACGCCCGCATTGTTAACTCGCCCGATTTATTTTTGGGTTAAATTTCCGAGCAAAAACCCCCCCTCGTAAGAAAGACCGGGACAGAAAATATTTTTGTTTACTGTTTTTTTGATATCTGGGGTGAAATCGGCAGGCAAATAGTCCCATTTTAATTTTTTGAAAAACTAACAATAAGATTCATTCTATTACACAGGGTCGAATCATACTTGTATCATTTCGTTCTGAGTTTGAAGTTTATTTTTTTAAACTACCTAAATTTTTAGAGACTACTGCTTTTTTACTTATGTATGTGTATATTCCCTTGAAATAAATAAATTAATTATAGTATGAAACCCGTAACGTACAGGCTCATTTTTTCTCAACCTTAAAGTATGTGAAATGAGTAATGTAAATTACGGCTTCAACTCCATTTTGGTGTAAATAATTTGCATATAAATACAAAAATATATTTTTAACATCATTAATTATTACATATTAATCCATTTATGTTTAGTGGTCTAATTGACCAAATTATTTCCTTCAATTAATTAGTATTTTTATGTAAGGTCTTGGTTGAAATATTAATTGTTACATTTATATATATGATGTAAATAAATCCAAAATTATAAATAATTTATTAATCAATTAAAAATATAAAACTTCAGCTATTTGGCTAATTCATACATGGTTTTGCCCCATTGTCAGTGTTCTAAAATATTCGAGATAATCCGCCCTTGGAACTTAATAAAACGTGATTATGTGATACAAAAAGCATATATAGATTCTTTTACCACCCGGTATGAAAAAAATTACCCAATATACATATTACTGTTATAAAATACCTGCTTTTTTACATCTGCATGTCGATATTCTCTTGAAATAAATTAATTAATTATAATATGAAACTTGTAACGCACACGCTCATTTTTTCTCAACCTTATAAATCCAAAATATAATTTTTTTTTTAAATCCTTAATTATTACATTTGTATATATATGTTATAAATAAATCCAAAATTATAAATAATTTATTAATCAATTTAAAGGTTGGCCAAGTCATACCATACATGGTTTCGCCCCACTGCCAGTGTTCTTCTAAAGAATATTCGAGATAGTCCGCCTTTGCAACTTAATAAAACGTGGTTATGTGAACAAAAATGAGAAATAGCTTCTTTTACCACCCGACATGAAAAAATTACCCAACATATATAATTTTGAAATTCAATAGGCTAAAAAGTGGATCGAAATTGCGAAAGGAGCTTGAAGAGGTGACCATTTTATCGGGGGGAAAAAAGGGGATACGCCAGTCCGATAAAAACTAGTCCGGGACTTTATGTAACGGATTGGTCACTCTGCGGCCGGAGTATTTCAAAACTGCTCTGCGGTGATTTGAACGGGCGGTAATAAACGTATGCAGCGACAGCTCGGCGGCCGAACGTTCCGAACGAATCGAGAGCCGTCGTCGTCGAATAGAAAGTGCAGACGGATGTAGGTCAGATAGTCTGTCTTCACTGCCAGCTTTTTCCTCCTATATATTTAATTTGTATAACCGATGAACTTTTTCTAAAAAGAACACGAAAACCTGAACCTTGAGACGGCGGAGACATCGTCGATTAAATTTTCGAAACAGGACTGGATTTTAGTGTAGAGGCTTTCCTCGCTTTGATATTGGTAATAAAGTATTTCTATTTTATAGTCGTTTATACAGTACTTACCATGGCTGCGGCGGTGTAGTCAAAATGAGCTAATACGGACACTAGCAAGACAATACTGAGACAGGAGCTGAAAAAGAGCAGGAGGGTCTCCCACCACGAAAGTCAGGACCTCTCACCGGGCTCCCCTCCAGCTGAAGCCACGGTTTGTTTGTACCCCTTGGATCAAGGGTGACATCCTATTTCCTCTTCGGAAACACTAAAATAGATCAATTTCCCAAAGAGGGGGGATAGGTTTTTCTTCTCCGCCAAAAAATATTTAGCGACATGCAAATTGGAAATATTCCATATACAACGACATCTGTAATTATAACGATTCTCGGTCGAATACTTGGTGGGAATAAAAAAAACGAAACCGACGTTACACTTTTGTTTCTTTGAGTCAAATTTTGAGTCGATCGGAGAAGAATTGAAAAAACACACCGGAGAAAGGCCATACACCCAAAACCGGTCCCAAAAGTAGATATGACCAATTTGAAAACTCTTTCTTTTTTCACCATGTCATATTTCAAGAATACACAAAAAACACATTATTCACAAAAACAACTAACAGGAAATTCGATTCTAAATGCTAGTTTAATAATCAAAGATCATATTTTGTAAGACTTCCTAGGGGAGATGTCCGGTAGCTTGGTCATTTCTAGTCATTTTGTATGTCGTATTTTAATGACCATTGTGGTTTAGTAATTTTTTTCTTCTTGTTGAAAATAGACCACCGTAGATTTCGGAAATGATTACTTATAAAATATATTTTGATCCTTTCTAAATTTCCTTTAGACGTAAGTTGCTACATTACTTCAATTTGAGCAAAAAAAAGAAAATTTATTGAAATTTGTTCTTGTTTTGCCCTTGCTGTCTGTTTTTCGTTTATAATTTGTACTTAATTTAGAAAAGACTTAGGCCATTGTGCTTGGATCCCGTACCCTTCTCCAATCCTTAGGTTTACTATTAACCCTATTTCTTTTTGCCCATTGTCAAGAACCTTGCGATTGACTTGATAAGACCTTACTTGGGAGCCTCATATCCTCCAGTCGTTGCTTTTCCAACCTCTGTCAGTTCCATAATTCCTTTCTCAACCGTTCGTTAATCCAACATTTAGAATTCCCTTCCTCACTCCATTCACCACGCTCTTTCCTTTCCACCTTTAAGACCCTTTTATTTGATTCCCTCCTGTCTTTGCAAGTTAGCACTAAAATAACTGGTGTAGTTTCCTTTTTGTATTTGTGTTGTGCACGAGTATAGGAGACGTCTCTATTACGTAGTTTTGTTTTTCAAGGGGGCTTTAAGGCCCAGAATAAATTTTATTTTCTTTATTCTTCTTCCTCTTCTTCTTTCAGCATGTTTCAGTATTTGCTGACATACGGTCCAATACCTGAAAAGTCTTGAGCAGCAGTGTTAAAAAATATGTGATTAAATTAAATTTGTATATAGGTTATATTTATGTGTATAGTTTGTAAGGTTTAATATTAATTTAATTGGCATTTTTGATGCTTATTCACTCATTGCTGGTATATTCTAAAAAAATTTTTTTTTTATTTGGACGAATCCTGGTCTTGAGTCCTCCATCACCTAGGTTCTAAATGCTTTTAGATTAAACCATTCATTTTACAAATATATTCACTCATATCCAAACATTCAACCCAAAATGTTGATTAAACAAACAACTATGTACTAAATACTGGTGTTGATTGAGAACTATGAAATTTCCATTTTTCATATTTTCCTTCACGTACGGGTTTTCTCTGTCTTCTTTGTTGGTATTTCCAGAGTCGTATCACGCAGAACAAATAGATACACCAAATTCGCCCCTGCACTATGTATCACCTGCAGCCTGTTTGATCTGTAACAATTACAGTATCATGATAAAAGCAAAATAATGTGTAAGTATTAAAAAACATTTTGCAATGAGAGCGCTTGAAGAACTTGTTTCGAAAAACTTAAACAGTTAGAAGGTTTGGAGAAGGATAATTTTGAAACGATTTGAATATAGACGAATAGCGAGAATAAGCGGACCAGTTCGATCATTGCCACCTCGAAAAACTTTTCAATGGCGTCAGGAATATTTCAAATCTTATAGTTTCTCACCTAACAAACGGTCGGTGTTCTTTTTCGTAAAATGGCGTGCTGTGAACTAGCAAACAATGATTCTTTTGCACGAGGCCTTAATTGCAAACGACTCTGGCAAGGTAAATGATTTAATGTTTATTAAGACTGTATTGAGAAAGTGAGAAAGCCCCGATGGCTGATTAAAAAACTATTGTCCATGACTATATAGCTACATGGTGAAAATGAAACATTAGCCAACTTTAAAACATTTCAATAATAAGATTCACAATAAATAAAAACCGCTAATTTACCTCAAGGCAATCACATTATCTTTAAAACTTCATTATCCTTTAAAAACTTCATTATGGAGTACAAATTTTGAAAGTAAAACCAAATCATATACTGGCGTCTGTCTAATTATTGCAGCATATATTTTTTAGCGCTTGACGAAAGAGGTATTTGCTGGGTTGAGGCGGAGAAAATAATAGTTTGTGTGAGTGTGTTTTTTGAGTGTAAACTTTTGTATGTGTTTGGTTTTTTACATAAAATGTGTGTATGTGTTTGTTTTTGTGTGTGAATGTCAATGGTGTAAGAATTTGTTTGTGTCTGTTTGGTGAATGTCACATAAACACCAACATGTCCAACACGCAACCAAAATGAAGAGATAGTGCAATAAAATAACAACGAACATTCGTCATTTCTTCTATTCGTAGAAAGTCATTAAATGAACTGGGTTTTAAGAATTATATAGAGCATATTAAAGAAGATGAAGATGGGGTCGAATCTCGAAATCTTTATAGGTTATCAAGACTTGTATATACTACAGGTGAATGAAGAAAAAACTTTTTGAAATGCAAGGTAGCCAGAATGCCATAACTTATAAAATAACATAACATAAAAACTTCGCTCTTTAGCTTGTTTGATCATAACGATTTCAAATATTGTAAGATTTCATCATGGCTTTGCGGTGTAATAAACCTGTATTTCGGCGTTTCCGGTAATTTTGGTCTGCTGACTGAAAACTGGCCTATCGGGCGAGTTTCGGTTTTTCTACATCTTCAGTAACATCAAGTTGACATATCGACTTCGCGCATGCACTTTTCACAAACTTAGAAAAAGGTCACGATTGACCAAATCCATCACCGAAGAGATAGTGAAAAGCCGAAACTCGTCTGACAGACCAAACTGATCGCAAGTGACAAAACCATCGGTTTCATATTTATTTATAACCGTCAAATAAGAAAAATATTGCCTGAAAATAAGAAGTGTGAAATGAACTTTTATTTAGAAACAAAAAAGTGAAATCCTGCGGAATAATGACTCGGTGTGGACGACCTTGTGGACCGTTGTTTAAAACTGATAACGTGTTTGCCCTCGAGTTAGAGTGAGGGGGAAACGGTGAGAGTAAAGGAGTGAGAAAGAGGGCAAAGCCCCACTGGCCCACGCTTCGGACCGAATAAGTTCAACACCCACTTAAAGATCACAACAGACTTTGGATATATCAGCCCTTAGAAAAATAAAGGAGTTACACGCCTTAAATATTTTTCCTTGAAGACTCCACCCAAGGACATTATAATTAAAGGTTCCAGTCTTCTTAACTTTCATGTATACGTATTTTATTATTGTGATTCTTCAGGAAGTTACAGTAACTTGTACATCCGCACTATTTCTCTACTTGGATGTGTAGTTTTCAAAAAACGTGCATAAACACTACGTGAATAAGACATGCGAACGTAAAGGTTTAATTCACGTTTTCACCATGTGACGAAGTATCCCCGTACAATAGGACTTTATCAGCAATCGCGGCTTTCTCACTTTTCAATTAACTCCAGCTGGACGATAAACAATTAATCATGGATCAAGCTTCCGTCCTTTGCAATTAAAGCCTTAATGCGAGAGAATCATTGTTAGTTACGTTCTCATCACGGTTTCCGTTGCAACACCGTCCGGTAGAGTGTTGATACATTTTTAAGTTCCTTCACTTTTACATGTTTATAATATTAGGTAAGACTGTGGGTGCTTTGTATGATATGGTACCCCTCTGATGATTTTAAGATCTGTTTTTCGTTGTACACTTCGCATTATTGCTTCCTAATACATTTCAGAATATTAACCGTAAACTTCCTGTTCAAGAAATTAAAAAATGCAAATCTGAACTTTGTTAAACCAGTACGTTTGTATCACTAAAAAAAACTAAATTAAACTAACTATAAAAAAAACTCCAGCCTACGACTTAATTTTATATAAGGATATCCATTTGGCCTAAATCACAAAAGATGCGACTGTTCTTCCTAAAGGAGTGGCACATCAACCTCATAAGTACTTGGTTGAGAGTGGTGTGTTCGCGCCTATTGAAGTCATAAATGTTTGTTTATCTCCCAAATTTTCTACTTGTCCACAATGGTGGAATTTTGGCACGATCTGGTGAAATAGCTCTAAAATCTACGTTGGAACATAGGATGGTCCTTTTAGCCTAAGGCGAGAGACATATACAAGAGAGAGAGAGAGAGAGAGAGAGAGAGAGAGAGAGATGGAGAGATAGAGAGAGTGAGAGAGAGTAGATTATTTTAGTACCCTTCATTTATTATGTATCTAATATTATTAGACATTAAAAAATTGACTTTAATTTATTGAAAACAATTCTTCAACATTTTCAGTACCTCATCGGTCGCAAAACTTATTTTGTGTACATATGTTTTATAATTGTTTTTTAATGATTTTTGTGTGTGTGTGTGTGTGGGGGGGGGGTATAAATTCAGGATGCGATGTTGAGAATCGAACCCTGGACTGCGGTGTCTAAGAGCCGAGAGTCTAACTTACTAACTACTCAGCTACGCAGTCTTGAGTATTAAATCATGTACTTATTAATCTTTAAAAAGAGTGTTTTTTTACTGGGCGTCAGTCCGCCCGGCATAATTTACAACTTTAACAATGAAGACATGTCGCGCATCCACAAGAAAAGTGACACAAGTCGAAAAATTATAAAAACCGGATTTTTTTTAAGTATTCGGATTTGTGATGCTACAGGAAAATTTACACAACTGTAGGTGGACTCTT